GGCCATGGTGCCCAGAAGTGCTCTGGCAGTTCCCCAACTGCACGCCCAGCACACGTGTTGTATCTGGGGTCTCACTGCTTTGACCAGTGGCACGTGGGGAGAGGAACCTGGCTGGAGAGTGCGTGAACAGACGAGATTGGGTGTCTGGTTAGGACAAGTGGGTCCAATTTGCTGGTATGTGAGGTGGAGTAGTGACACATGGGCAGGGGAGCAATGGTGGGATGGAGCTGAGGCAAGGACCACAGACAGCATGGCATGGAAGCACAGGTGGTTCCAGCTCAGCCAGGAGGGGAGAGGTGCCACCAGGCTCCTGTGCAGGGGCCCAACAGGTGGTGGTGGGGCCCTCTTGGGCCTTGGTTCCTTGTGGGGAGGAACAGTCCAAGGGAAGTGGCACTGTCCTGCTTAGCTTGGAACCCATAATCTGCTGCTGATATCCTTCTCCAGCACAGGGCAAGGGAGCTATACTGCTGCTCAGGGTAGCTGTGGGGCTTGCCTAGGCAGAGCAGGGGCAAGACTGGCCCCCAAGTGCTGGGGTCAGGCTCTGCAGGCATGAACAGATGTAGTCTCTGTGTCTGCACATGCTTTACTTGTGTTGCCCGTGCTTTTCTACTCCAAGAGCTGCCTGCTTGGGTGGTGATAGAGCCTACAAGCACCCATGGGTGGGAGGGTCTGGCCAGGGATCTTGGCTCCTTCTGTACTGTAGCTCTTTGAATATTCCCAGAGCAAGTCTGCTGTTAATTCCCTCCATCTCTCCACAGTATCAGCAGTCCCCTCCGGGCTGGGCCGTTGGCAGGCAGGCAGCAGCAGGCAACTGTCAGGCTGTGAGGAGCAGTGGCACATCTCCCTGCGTCTGTGTTCCTGACTTGCCCAGCAGAAGGTGTGGCTGGGCTGCATGCTTCTGATTCCTGGCTCTCCTGCTCCATCTGTTCCTTGTGGGCAAATCAGAGGCTTGGTCTAATGGGAATGCCCTGAGCCATCACCCCAGGAGCTTCAGGCCTGGATGTTGGTGCTGCTCCTCCTGGACAATGTGGCAGATACTCTGGAGAAGCCCTCTCTTGACCCCTGTTCTCCAAGTGCTTGAGCTGGTGGCCAGCTGGGACCTGCGTCTTGCCCTCTTGGTCCTGAGCTTCACTTCAGCGGTTGTGCGGATGGAGGGCCAGGTCTACTCGCCGACTGTCAACACGCACTATGGGAAGTTACGGGGGGTGCGTGTGCCACTGCCCAGTGAGATCCTGGGGCCTGTGGACCAGTACCTGGGGGTGCCTTACGCTGCCCCCCCCATCGGGGAGAAGAGGTTCATGCCCCCTGAGCCACCACCATCCTGGTCGGGCATCAGGAATGCTACTCACTTCTCACCAGTCTGCCCGCAGAACATCCACAATGCTGTTCCTGAGATTATGCTACCCATCTGGTTTACCTCCAATTTGGATATTGTGGCCACGTACATCCAGGACCCCAACGAGGACTGTCTGTACCTCAACATCTACATCCCCACGGAGGATGGTGAGTCCCCACTGGGGTGTCCACAGGAAAGCCGGGGGGAAGGGGTGGCGCTCCAGCCCTCCCCAGCAGTGGTTGGTCTCACCTGGGTGTTTGTGTTTGAGGCATGTGGTTGTGGACTCTGCAGCATGCTGTCTGTTTGTGGAAAGCTTTCTTTGGCCACACAGCTCGCCCTCTTGCCCTCAGCTGCCATCTCTGTCTCATGTGCTCCTGCTCCACCATGCCTCTTGGTGTCCCCCCTCCACCTTCATGGCATTGTCACGGGTTCCTCTCTTGTGTTGCTAAATCTGAATCCGACTCTCTGACTTCAGATCCACAGAGCGACAAGTTGGTTTGTGTTCCTCAGGCGCCCAGTGCCAGGTTCTGTCTTGAATTGGTTCCGGTTTGTCCTTCCTCCCCTCTTCCTCCCCTCCCCAGGTCCATGCGCTAGTTGTGGGTGTGGGCTGCAGCTGTGGCTGGGAGGAACACTCTCTGTCTCTCCCTGGGGATATGATCCAGCAAGGAAGGGACCACAGAGCCCTCTTCTGGGCCCTGTTACGGATGGGAGATTGGGGGCACTGACAGGCACATTGCTTGGCTGCCCCTGTCCGCCAGCGGAACAGCAGCAGAATGATGAGCTTGGGGTGCTGGGAGCCCACAGAACATGGTCCCGTTGGAGTGAGGCTGAGCAGCGCTGGGTGCCTCCTTGTCTAACCTTTTCCTTTGTAGGGGATCCCACCTGAACTGTAAGTAGAGGGCAAAGGAGGCAGTGGCTGGCCGGGCCTCCACCCCAAGCCCCTCCTCCACCCCACCCCTGCGTGCACGGGGGGCCCCCGGGGATTTTCAGCAGGTTGGAAGGTACCGTCAGCGGGTCTGCTGGGTGCAGTGGAGTGGACTGGTGGCTTCTGTGAGGCTGTCTGGCTCCACTTCTCTGTCCCTGGGGCCTTTGACCTTGGGATACATTGTGCCTTCCTTCCTGCCCAGCACGGCTGACCCAGAGTTTTCCTCCCACGGCAATGCTCCCTCCCCACGTCCTGCGGTTCTGGGGGTGGTGGGAGGGTGGCAGCGTGGTTGTGATTGCATGCCCACTCCCGCCACTGGAGCGTCCTGTTATTTTGTAGTCTTTTATTCATTTTACAGTAAAACGGATTTCCAAGGAATGCACCCGAAAGCCCAACAAGAAAATATGTAGGAAAGGAGGTATGTAGCAAGTCGACCGGCAGAGAGGCACAGAGAGGAAATAGAGAGAGTGAGAGGGTGCCTGGCTGGCCCCTGGCCCATGGCATACTCCTCCGGCATCTCTCTGTGCTGCCACCCAGACCACAGGCCCTCCGAGCAGCTCACCCTGCTGCCCCCGCTTCCTGCTCAGAGAAGCCCTGCGGATGCTTCGCCCACCTTTGCTCCCCAGCCAAGAGAGCTGGGACCAGTGCCAGTTGGGAGAGCAGGTCTGGGGTCAGATCAGTGGAGGATGTTCATGTTGCTTCAGGCCTTTTAGAAAAGCTTTTCCCAGGCTGGGCCCATGCTCCCACCTTCATTCCACAGCCTCCTAGCCCCATAGTACCGGCAGGAGGGAGCTTCTGGTGGCAGGTAGCACTTAAATGCATGCATCCCTTAGGGGTGCATCCCCTGCTGGGGGTGTTACAGACCTGCTCAGGGAAGCACCTGTGTGGTAGGGGACTGCAACCCATCCTGGGCTGAGCGCTTCCCCTGTTGCATCCGTGGTCATTTTGCACCCAAAGCTCCTTGGTTAAAAGCATAAAACCTCTGCTGGCTGTGTAAGTGATGCCATATTCTGCCTCAGCCCATGATCCCACCAAGGCTGCTCACACCCTCAAGCCTTTGCCAGCCCTGCCGGTGAGGATCTGTTCTCCACCCCCTGGCACAGAAACCTCCTTGAACCCCAGCCACCCTCTGGGCGGCCAAGCACTTCCAGTTCAGACACATCCCTGCTTTGCCTTGCCTCCATCCGCCTCCATCCCCAGAGCAGTGCCAGCCCCTTTGCCCCAAAGTGATCCTGTGTTCCCAGCCAGCACCTTGGGCCAGGGAGTAATGTGCAAATAGGAGCTGGCTTGGCCCTTTGTCAGACACAATGCTTTGACCATCCCACTGCACAGCCCACTTGCAGGCAGGGAAAGCCCGGGCTGCTCTGTGCATACCAAAGCTGAATGTGTGAGCAGTTGGGCATCCAAGCTCCACTGAAAGGCTCAGTGCAGGGAGGGGCTGTCTGGCAAGCAGGAGCTGCCATCCTGGGCATCCTGTAGCAGCGGGATCTTTGCATCCCCGTCTCCACATCCCTGTGCCCCTGGGTTTGATGGGGCTGGTGCAGCTGGGCTTTGCGGTTTGGGGAGCACTTTCCTTCCAGTCATTTCTCCCAGTTCTGTTGTTGGGTTTCTTTGCTTTGCTTTTCCTGTTGCTGTCCTGGCTATTCACACAACATCTCTCTGAGTGCCAAGGCTGCCCTTGAAAGGGCTGTCGCATTTGAGAGTCTTCGCACGCTGCCTCCGGAGTCGGCTGTGCCAGTGATCACCAGCCACTTAAAAACCCTCCCGCCGCCTGCTGGGGCCGCAGACCCCCGCCACCCCCAACCCTGTGGCTGGGGCCAGGGAGTCAGGGGACAGATTGTGGCTGGAGAAGGAGGCATAAGGCATGGCAAAACAGCTTGGACACACTTGTCTCCTGGTTTTCTCTCCCCACCAGCTCTGCTCTTGGGCAGGGTTTCTTTGCAGCCCATCTATAGTTGCCTCTGGTCACCTTTTGGATCACTGGAGGGGGATGTGCCCTCTGTTCCCAGCTGGCTCTGCTGACTCAAGGACCCATGGATCCCCAGTGCCAGCCATTTGGGCATCCAGGCGTGACATGCCAGGAATTAAAGCACCCCGATGCTGGTGTTGCTGTTTGGCTGCAGCAACAGTTATGATGACCATTGGCTCAAATTGAGTCACTTGTGATGAGACACAGAGGCTCCCCTGCCCGTCATTGTGTATCCTTGGGTTAGGAATGCTCGAGGTGAGGATAATATACCTGCAGTGCTGCTTTCTTCAGGCTCTGTTGCTTTACTCTTGAATAGTCCTCATTATTTCTAAGGCCACGTAAGAGTGGTGAATAAGCTCTTCTGTCACAGAGCAGGCAACTGTGCAGTACTTTGGTGGTTCAGAACACCTCAGCTCCTACTTTACTGGAGTTTTCATGATTTCTGCCACCCCTAAGTTGACTGTACTTCATAGCAGCCAAGGGTCTGAGAATTTATTAGAATTTATCCCTGGGACAGGAAAAAGTCCCTGTTTCACTGCCCAGTTGCCCACAATAATTTCCTATATGGAAATTTTCTGCATGCCAATTTCCTCCATGCACATTGGTCCCTTCTTTTGCAACAAGGCAGGGCAGTGGTGCTTTGAGAATAATTAGCAATGCACAGTGCTGGGGGAGCTGACAGCACTGAGGGTCAGTTGAGGCTCAGATTTTGCTGTGAGAATAATGCTGTCCACCTAAAGAGCATGTACACATACACACATGGTACTGTACCTACATGCAAAATGCAGCATTTTGCTTTGTGCTGCCAACGCTTCCAGCTTGTGCTTGTCTGTGGTGGTAGCTGGCATGCTTTTTCCCTTCCCTTCACCACCAGCCTGGGCAGGCCTTGCTGCAGGGCATGAGGAGGTGGATGTCATGTTTGGAGGGGAAAATGTGACTGCCTTGCACATAGCAGCCTTCCCTGCTTTTTACTAGCAACTGCCCTAGTCCCTGTGTCTGGGGCTGTGCAGAGTCTGTGATGAGGCAGAGATGTGCACCAGTCCACCATCCCGCTCTCTGTGTGAGGGTGGCTAGAGCTCCCAGAAGCTCCTGGGCTCAGGATGTGCTTTGGCTGCTCTGGGAAAAGCATTGGCACTTCTCTGCCACTCTCCAAGAAGCAAATTTGTCTGAGTACCAGATGAGGCTTCCCTATGGCTGTGCATCTTCTGCAGTGCTTCCTTGCTGGAAGGCTTCTCACCAGCCTCCTGCGAAGCCTGCTGCTTTGCAGAGCTGGCTGGGAGCAGATGACTGTCCTGGTGCTCCATTTCCGCTTTAGGGAGCGATTTGCAAAGGTGAGGGCAGGTGTTTGTGCTAGCAGAGGCAGCAGAGCATAAGAAAATGCAGTGCTTTTATGGAGTCCACTGAAGGATGGAGATAACTCCTCTGCATCATCCAGGGATGGGGGGGCAGGGCAGCACCAAGGTGTGCTGTAGTCCTGGAGCAATGGCTGGTGGCTGGAAGGGCCACCTGACACAGGTCCCAGGGGAGCTGCCCTTGCCTGTGGGGTTGTGCAGCAGCAGGTTCAATGGCTGTCATCAGTCCCGATTCTGTTCCTTATCACTTCCAGAGAAGCACCTGAGCCAGTGTGGCCACCAGCATGTGTGCTTCTCAGTGCACTTGGCCATCAGACATGGTGGCAGCGCTGCTGTGGGCTCCTGCTCCCATGCAGCATCATGGAGGAGGGGGTGCTCGGGCTGCCTGTGGCAACCCTGAGGAGGCATTTGGATCTGGAAAGGTGTCAGCCCAGGCCTCTGCTGTTCTCTTATCCTCACCGTGCTGAGTGCAAAGGCTCCAAGAACCAAGGCTTCTTGTCCTCCTTTCTCTCTGTTTGTGCTGGTGTCGGTGCTGTTGGCATAGTTTACTTAAGATAGCATAAATCCAATGTAGATGTCCTTGTTTCAGGGAAAGTGATTTTACTTTTCACTGAACTTATGTTTAAATCTTCCTAGACCCTTCAGATAAGAATGTATTCATCCTTCCTATCAACTGAACAATGTCACTTTGCAGTCAGCATTCACAGTGCATTAGTGGAGCGAATTTTTAATGGATAAGGAGAATAAAAGCCATGAGTCATCTTGGTTTTTCCAGCTGTGAATCCACAAACTTAAACCCATCCCTGTGAAGTAGGTGCTACAGGGCTCTGCACGGTGGCCTCCGCCTTGCTGTTGAAGATTTCCTGGGTTGGGTGTCTTTGAACATGGCAATAACTGATGGAAGGAGGTAATGAAGCAAAGTGCAAGGGATAGATAAGGCAAATAAAGCTGTAATTGCTCTCACAAGCTGTGGGGTATCAGTGGGTTGTTGTGGAGGTGAACAGTGTAGTAAGAGGCAAAAGGCCTGCTTGGTCACAGCAGCCTGTGTTCACCGTAACCCCAGCTACCCTGGCACCTTCCCGACAAGGGAAAAGGCTCCTGCTTTGCATCTGCCATATAAAAAGTGCCATTGCTATTCCACTTCCCCCTGGCCTGTATTACTGCACTCCTGCTTTGCTTAGCTTCCCAGTGCTGCTTTCTACTGCTCCTTCTGCAGTGTGTGAAGCCCAAGTTGCTTTAGGCTAGTCCCAGCCAACCCTGAGGTAGTGGTCTCCAGCCAGATCCCTCCCTCAGCCAAGACAGTTGCTTATATTGCAGAGATGCCCACTGCCCTCTCTTACAGACTGACACCTCCTCACAGCCAGTTCCTTCCTCCCTGTCTGCGTGGAGACTTCTGTCCCCTGAAGGCAACCAGGCTGGAGGGCTGCAGCCTGGCCAGCACCAGGGCACTCAGCAGTTGAAAGGGATTTCCAGCTGCTTGTGATTGGCTTCCCAGCTTTGAAGCATAGTGTGAGTGGTCTGCCTGTGGTCTTCATTAGAGAAAAATCCCTATCTCTGAGCAGTACCAAGGAGATTGGCACAACACCAGTTAGCAAATCTTGTACAAATACTTCATCATTTAAGCACTTGCTGGGCTTGCAGCTCTTCCTAATGAAGATGCAGTAGGTCAAGTTTGCAGCCCTCTGCAAACAGGCTGGGCAGCTGCATGCATCTGGGGAAGGAACAGGTGGGAAGGAGACAGCAAGAAGGGGTTCTGGGCTGAGAGGTGATAGGCATGGGGGTGGCTTTGGGTGAAAACAGGAAAATGATGTGATGAACTCAGGGGATGGCTGGGTGGTGAAGCAGGTGGTTAGGAAGCAGGGCTGGGGCATGGAAGAGGTAGGGCAGGAGGTGAACTCCAAGCTGGAGAAAATCAGGATGGCTCTGGAGACAGCCTCTGGAGACAGACCCTAGGCTGCTCTACCTCACATTTTCCTGGCAGTTTATCTTGTCTGGTTTTAAACACATCCCCAAGGCACCTCTTCCAGTGCTTTCCAGCCCTTTCTGCCTGGAAGGTTTTCTTCTTGTCAAACTTCAGCCTGCCTCATGTATCTGTGGGGTTGCCTGTGCTCTGTGCAGCAGAGAGGGCATTGCTCTTCCACCACCTGGCAGTGGTCTTTTGTGCATTTGGCTGCTGGTGTACCCCCCCATCACTCCTCTCTACTCTTCAGATTCACATGACCCAGCAAACATTTTTTGCCTGTTGGATTTTTCAGGACTTCTGATTGTTGCTCCTCCAGACTTTGTCCAGCAGGTCGTGGCTTCTTAAGGTGTTGTGCAAGCCTCTTGTCCTCATGAAGCTGCCCCATGGCCATTTTAGACCTCTCACTCGCCTATGACAAATTCCTTTTAAATTCAAATCCTGTCCCCCTCCATGCTGCCATCTCTGTTATCTGCCACCCATGTCACCTGCAGGTTCCTAGTCCCAGAGACCTTACTCCCAGATCCTTGTGGTAAGGATGGTTCCATGGTTTTGTCTTCCCAGCCAGTTTCATGCTCGTCTTATAATTTCATCCAGACACAAGGCTGCCCCTCACTCATGACAGCCTTGCTGGAAGCTGTGCAAAACCCTTGCTGTGGTAGCAATGGGGTCAGTAGATGATAGCAGCAGAGCCCCAGGATCAGCTGGGTGCCTGACCGGACCTCAGAGCCCTGTGCATCCGCAGGAGATTGGTGGGCATCATGGGCACCTGCCCAGGGGAAACCCTGCTGTCACCCCTGAGGTCACTGTCACTCAGGGAACTGTTTTGGTGCAGGCATTAGGGAGCAGAGGACAACAGGTGCTGCTCTGCAGCTCTAAGGTGATAACGAGAGGAAAACCTCTTCCTGAAATTCAGGGCTGCAAGGCACAGGGATGGCACCACTTGGCTTTCTAGCCACAAGGACACATAGCCCTTTACAACAACAGGACTTCAATACAGGTTTGCACCACGTATGCTCCCTGACATCCCTCCTGGCTCACACTGGCTGCATGCAGCTTGGAAAGCGCTAGACTCAGTACACGCCATTCACAACAGCATCCCACAGCACCAAGCTGGGGCTGCTGGCCTGGCCTGTGCCCTGGCACTGTAGATTTGCTAAGGGCCATGCAACAAATGGAAGACATTCAGGACATTACAGAAAACAGTATTTTTAGGACTCTGTCTTGGTCAGGGCAAGCTGGTAAGTGCTTTTGCAGTCCTCAGCGAACCATGTAACTAATGTTTTAAGAAGAGAGTTGGTACAGGACAGAGCCAAGCAGCACAGGGAAACACCCATTATGAGGCTCCCTGCAGCATATCATGGTGATCTTGTGCTGTGGCACCAGTGGTTTGCGGCATAGCCATGCCAGACATTATGTGGAGGTGACAGTCAGTACACTGGATGATGGTCAGTGGCCACCCAGGGCAACCCTTCATATGGGCTCTGCTGGTGGCAGGGGATTGTTGTCCCCAGTGGCAGCAGAGCTGGGAGCAGGGTTCCTGCTTGCACCTGGGGCTTAGAGGAGGGAGCCTTGCCCTGGAGCAGGGAGCCAAGGGTGTGTGAGCAGGTGGCAGCCAGGCTGGGATGCAGGAGGATCAGCAAGTGCTTTGAGAAGCTAATCCACGGCCAGCACTGATGCTGCCCCAGGCCCCCTCTCCTCTCCAGCACCCCCTGGGGAGGATCTGTGAAGGGTCCAAGTGAAGCAGCATCCTGGTGCAGCTCTCCAGGCAGTCCTGCCTGAGCCTTGCGCTGCCCTGGCTCTGGGAGAGGTGCAGTGTGAGTAGCCAGCAGTGCTGTGGGGTGCAGGCCTGGCCTCACCGTCTCTGCTATCATGCTATTTTTGAATTATCTTTTGTTTTTTTTTGTTTGGTTTTTGTTTGTTTGTTTGGTTTGGTTTTGTTTCCTTTTGTTTTCCTTTTTGTTGTGTCTCCTCGTGTTTGGTCCCTAGGAGCCAGCGCTAAGAAACAGGGCGAGGACTTAGCGGATAATGACGGTGATGAAGATGAAGGTATTTCTGTGCTCGAGGCTGCCACTGCATGACACACAAAGCAACTCCGTTTGCCCGCCATCTGCTGCCATACCCAGGGAGCCGTGTGTGTGTTCATCTGCCGTGCCAGGCAGCTGCGTGGGGTGGGGGACAGGCTGGCTGGCTGTGCAGGGCACCCAAGCCCTTTCCCTCCTTGGGACAGGATGGGAAGCTCAAGGGTTTTTTTTGTTTGCTCTCGCTCCACTACAGCGAGAGCAGGGAGGAAGCATGGCAGCTTGGGAGGAGAGAAGCCCTTGGGCATCTGGGCCCATTTCACCCTGAGCCTGATCACATCCCACCTTCAGCCTCATCGCTCCAGAGCTGGTGACATACAGCTGGGAGCCAATGACCTGCCCCTCCATCCTTGCCTGGCCCCACCAGCTTGGCAGCCTTCGCACCTGCAGGGTACTTGGCCATGCCCAGGAGACCTAAGGTCCACCTGGACATGGTTTCTGTTAACTTTTCTCCTTCTCCACCCAATGTGAGCGAGGTCTTGTTTGCAACCAAAGCATCAGCACCAGCCAGGCCAAGCAAGTGAGCTTTCAAACAGATATGATTCTAGATGCATGCCAGGGCTAAGCAAGCTGCAGAATAAGCTATTTTTAGTAAAACGACGTTGTTCATCTGCAGGGTATGGAGTCACTGTGTTTGGCTGCAGGGATATAAAGAGGGGGCAGGAGGAACTGTTGGCCAGGGTGCAGCCCTAACGTACCGAGGACAGTAAAACACTCATGGTGTGCAGCAGTCCCAGGGCAGCTTGAGGACAGCCTGGCAGATGGTGTTTAGATTCTGGAAAGGAGATGAAAAGCTTTTTTACCAGAACTCTGTTTTTTCTCCCATTAACCTGTGTCCCAGGTTCCCTTGTAGCAGGATGTAAACTGGAATCAGCACTTGACTGTGCTAAGTCCCTACACACTAAAATGCACTGCAGCAATTAGGAGCCGTTTATTCCCTGGTACATTTCCACACATTGCTGCTATTCTGCTGTGAGGATATCACCTTTGTGTGTTGATGGGAATGTGGGGCAGGGAGGAGAGGACATGGGCACAGGCATGGATGTTCCTGCCCTTCATATTTCAAGCAGATAGCCCTGGGAAGAATTGTCCTACTTGTAGCTATGCTCCATAGGCAATGACTGTCCCAAAGGAGCCAAAAATGCTTTTTGCTCCCTAGGTTTGTGTATTTGCCTCGCTGGATCCTGGTGACAGGGGAAGAGCTGGCACAGGTTTTGCCATATCCTCATTCTCCTGGAGGGAAGAGGTTTTCTGTACAAAAGGGAGACCATCCTTAACCATGCCACAGGCCCCGGCTGGAGGTGGGGATGGCCAGAGGTACCCATCAGCCTGCTCTGCATCCCCCTGCAATGGGCACATCACAGGGAGGAGTGGATGTGGGCAAGGGTTAGGTGGGTGCAAGGGCACATGTCCACACTAACTGGACATTCTCACTAAGCTGGTGTGGCTGTGCCCTGGCATTCCCAGCTCTGCAAGGACTGTGGCAGGCACTAGCTTCTGCGACAGTGTGTTTCACTCGTGAGGGAGGCAGGCAGGCAGCAGCAGCTGGCTGGAGCAGCCAAGGTGGAGAAGCACCAGCATGCAATGCCAGCCCACCTGAGCAAGGTGCTGGATGTGGGTGAGCACTAGGGAGGATGAAGTTCATCAGTGCTGGCTTGCCAGCCCAGGAGAGGACTGGACACTGCAGGCCTGTGGGACCTGGCACCATCTCCATCACAGGCTCCTCTATGTAACATGAGTGAGATATGCAGGAGCCAAGTACAAGTGTTCCTCCCTCACACCTGGGCTTGTCTCCATGACGGATCTGATGCCAGTAGGGCAGAAGGGGTAGGACATCCCTTGGACAGGGTGAGTTGAGAGAGTGAGCAGCCATGCTGCTCCTGTCCCCTAGGCTCCCACAGTCCTTCCTCCCCAGCCCTTGGGGTCCCATTCCCCATCCTCACTCCATGCCTCATGCCCTGTCCTCATCCAGACACTGTGCTCCCCTCTCTGACACACACACACACATGCACACACTGTCTGCCTCATTACCGTGTCTGTGTCTGGGCACTGGGGTGTCATGGGTTCACATCCAGACAGCTGGCAGGTTTCTGCATTCCCACGGGATGGGAATTGGGAGTGGGAGAGTCAGACACTGGAGCACTTACTCGTGCCTCCCCTGCCTTCCAGGTCCTGCACACCCCCCATTCCTGCCCCCCTACAATGCCAGCTTCTGGGACTCCTGGAGCCAAGAACTTGGGTCCAGCCAAAAATGGGACATTGAGCTGCATCCCAGGGCTGAAGTCTGCAACTCCTGTGCACAGTGGAGATGCCACTGGTCTGGTTTGTGCACACAGTCAGAGCCTGGCTGCAGGGAAGAGCAGCTGAATCCCACCAGCATCTCTCTCATATGTGCTGAGATGCCTGAGGAGACAGCAATCTGGGGATGGTGCAGTGGCTGCCACCACCTAGAGAGGGACTGGGCAGGGTTAGTTCAGTGGTGGTTGGCTTTGGAGGTCCACACTAGCGCACAGGAGAACTGTGGGATTGGCTCCTAAGTACCCTCCCTGGTCCTGGCAGCTGGCATTGCCCTCATCATTGGTCTGCCTGTCAGGCAGGGTGTTGCAGCCATCAGCGGGGTCCTGTGTTTAACCACTTCTCCTTCCAGACATCCGGGACAGCGGGGCCAAGCCAGTGATGGTGTATATCCACGGTGGCTCATACATGGAGGGCACTGGGAACATGATAGATGGCAGCGTCCTGGCCAGCTATGGGAACGTGATTGTCATCACCTTGAACTACCGCGTTGGAGTGCTCGGTATGGGCTGGCCAGCGTGGGCTGCGTCACCAGCACAGCTGGGCAGTGGGATGAGCCCCCATGATCAACTGGGCTTGAACCAGCTGGGAAGGGGGCAGTGTGGGGCATGGGGTCCCTCAGGCCCCTCAGTGCACTGCAGGCACTGTCCCTGCGCTCTGCCCTGGCCACTGAGTAGGATGCCATGCGGCAGTGCTCCCGGCAGGCAGTCACAGTGTGATCTGGTTCCTGGCACCAGGCCCTGCAGGCTCATTTATACAACCTGGCTCAGATGAAAGCAAATATTAGTCTGCAGTATTGGTCTGAGAGGGCTTGGAGTAGTGAACTGCCAGTGAGTACTGCCTGGCTGCCCCAGGGACCCAACAGCTCTCCCTCCCTGAGCACAGGCTGCCTTCAAGCCAACTGAGCTGCCAGGACCCCCACAGCTGCCCACTGTGGCCTGACTGGCTGCAGAGGGCATCACGAAAGGGTGTTGCGTACCATATACAGAAGAGTGGCAGTCCCATTTTAGTGAGTGCTGGTGACCTAGGGCATGAAGAGGTGAAATGGAGGCACAGAGTCAAAAGGCAGTGTGGTCTGCTGCCTGCTGGGTGGAACCCCCTGGGCGCTGGGACACAGGAAGACTTGCCTGGAGTATCACTGATGACTCCCTTAGCAGCAAGGGAGAACAAGGGGTGTGTCGGTTTAGAGAGGTCCTTCCCAGCCAAGCTGCTGGAAGGGCTGTCTCTCTTCCTAGCCATCCAGCCTGGCACAGTGTTTTCGCTGGGCAGCTGGGCTTCCAGGCAGCACCTGAGACAGAAAAACCTCTGCCGGCCTCCAGAGCCCATAGTGTCTTGAGGAAGATGGCAGTTAGCTGCTAGAAAATAGGTTTTTCAGCAAAAACAAGCCTATTCAAGATGTTTCAATATTAAAAGTCAGGCGTTTAAGATGAATAAGTGCAAATTTAAGAGATATAAGTACCAATATGAAATAAGACTTAAATGGTGCCATTGTCATCGCCATTGTAGTGCTGCAAGCATGTCTGGCCAGAGCACGTCCAGTGCTGCAGCAGTGCTGGCACTGCTCCCTTTCTGCTGGGATTACCTGCCTGGATTTTACCTCAGGACCATGACTTTGGCTTCCTGCTTTGAGTCAAAGCAAATGAAACACTGATAGATTATCTTGAGTGTTCCCTTTGCTATTGAAGGCATTTTTCAGCATCTTCTGCACTGAGAACCTTTGTATTTTAAGCTGCAGTCAGTTCCTCTGTGCCCAGCCCACGTCCTTACATTTATAAAGCCTCCTCCAGGCCATGCTAGTCTATGGAAAGCATTGGCTGTGCCTGCACTCAGCCTGCCTGTGGCCACCAATGCTTTCTTGGCTTCCCTTGGAGCATGCATGAGATGTCTTGACTCATTATTAGCACAGGCAGTGGTCCAGGTAGGACAGGACTTTGGGCCCATCACCCTGTCACTGCTTGCCATTGTCTGGAGATGCTCCCTGGGGCTTTTACCTGTGCTCGCAGCCTTTCACCCCTGTGTGCCATGCAGCGGGTGGCTGGAGCTCAGCAGTGTCCCTCCTCCAGCTTAGGGCTCACAGGACTCTCCTGGTAGTGGGGTCTCATGGTGGGAGAGGGTCCCAAAGAAACTCCCCTAGGCCTGGGGAAGGTAGGGTGGGGGGAGGTGAGGACACCCCGTTTCCACATCCCTAACTGGGCTCCTCTTGGCCCACAGGGTTCCTAAGCACAGGGGACCAGGCTGCCAAGGGCAATTACGGGCTGCTGGACCAGATACAGGCGCTGCGCTGGGTCAGCGAGAACATCGCCTTCTTTGGGGGAGATCCCTTGCGGATCACTGTCTTCGGCTCTGGCATTGGTGCCTCCTGCGTCAGCCTGCTCACTCTCTCCCATCACTCTGAAGGTAGGTGCTAGCTGTCCCTGAGGATGCTGCAGCTGTGAGCAAGAGACCTACTGATGCTAATCCAGGGAAGGAGCCTCCCTGGGTACTGCTGGCCACCCTTACAAAGTCAGTGCTACTTTTTTAATTAGTCACTGATGACAGCCTGACCCAGGGCTGGGAAGCAAAACCTCCTAGTGGGCAGGGAGAGGCCAACGTCAGAGCGCGTGGGCACCAGCAATGGAGCTGGTGCTTCCAGTGTGCAGGGTTGCAGCCTGGAGCCAGCACCTGGGACCCCTCCTGTGGTGTCCTGCCCAGGCGCCCAGGCTTGCCTGTGTGGAATGAGTGTAGGGCATTATGCAAGGCATCGTGAGCATGGATCTCAGTGCTAAAAAAGGCGTCTGTATTGGAATAGAGGGAAAGCCAGACCTGAGCCTGCGGAATAATGGAGGGCGTCGTCTTGTGAGACTGGGAGAGCTGGAAGTGCTGTGACTAGCAAAACACAGGTAGAAGTGATATGACTGATATCTGTAAATATAGCAGTGTTTACTCTAGATAAAGAAAGGTATTATTTATCCTAAAAGATTGTGTTGACATATGAGCAAATGCATGTAAACCACCTGCAAAGACATCTACATTGAGCACTGAGGGGAAAAAAGAAACATGGGAGTAGAGGTGTTCTTAGTAAACCTCCTAAGAGAAATTGCAGGAGTAAGGCCTGAACTGGACGTGGTCCACAGGGGACCACCCTGCCAGAGACTTGGTGACAGGAACTTTATATGAGAATGCAGTCCCAGTGCTGTGTTCTTAAGACTGTTAAAGGGGAGAAGGGGACGTGTATGAGTAGTGGACACGGCCATGAGTCTGCATCTCAGAGACACACACAAAATTGGATTGAATCCATTGCTAAGAGCTGTAGCTCTGCTCAACAGCTTGGGAACCATACAGCAATGAAGGAGACCTTCAGAACCTCAGCAGAGCTAATGGTATAGCAGAGGATGCACAGGAGGAGGCTGGCACCAGCGAAGCTGGGCAGCCTTCCTCTGGCCCTGGGAGCTGTGGATGGACTGATTGCCCCAATACTGAAAACAAGAATGACCTCAGCTTGGGCTGCTGTTAAAGTGGCTGCACCAGCATTATGGCTGCTTAGTAGTATTCATTGTGGAGATTTGCAGGTGCTTTGGGCAGCACAAGGCTGGTGTAAGCTGCAGTGAGAATGGCAGAGCCTGTGCTTATGGTGGGAAGTGAAAGGGCAGCAACCTGCTGAGCCCAGGGCTTGCAGGGTGCCGGCAGTTCACCACGGAGTCAAAGGCAAGCAAAGACCAGCTCTATTCTCCCAAAGTTCTCCAGGTGTCCTTTTGGTTAAACTTGCCTGATTCCAGCAAACCACTTGCCCTATGGTGAGCTGTCTCTGCCCCATGCAGAGACCCGTTGCTGTGCTGGGCTCTGCTTTCCACTGATAAACCTTTGCCAGAGACAGAAGTGGGGCTGACAGGCTGCCTGTGCCTCTGCACCCTTCCCTGCTGTCCATCCGGGTGCCCAGCACTCCTTTCTTTGGATGGGCCAGCAAACTCAGGTGGAGAAGCTGAGACATGCTACCGTGACCCATGGGATTAGAGTATGCAGAGAGGCTCTGGAGGCACCAGTGCCTCATGCTCACTTTATGCTGGAACGTATGACACAGTCAACACCAGCTCACTCTGTGCAGTGTGCTCCCGCTCTCAGGGTGATGGCTCCCACCCCTTGTCTTCCCTGAGTGCCCCAAGAACAAGACCTCTGGGGATGCTCTACCCCACAGAACCGACAACAGAGGAATGTCTGGACCTGGTGGGCAGCTGCTTCCCAAAAACTAGGCAGCCTGGTCACTCCCACATTAGGTCCATGGTGGTCCCTGATCTTCCATGACTGCCCCGTAGTCCACTGGCTCTGCTGTCACCATTGCTGGTGCCCTCCCATGTTTGAGTAAAACAGGGAGAAACAAAAAAAAGCAGGTAAAGCTGAAGTGATCCAGCACTGGCAGTGTGTGTCGAGCTGCTATTGCCTGCTCAGGACATGTGTGTTCTGTGTAAGCCACTTTCCCTGCCACCTCAGGGCATACAGGACACTTGTGCTCAATCCATGCTTCTGCATGAATGCTCAGTGCCTGAAGTCAGCCCCTCTGTTGTTCTGCTCTCTCTGTGCCATGATGCTGATGCCTGAGCATGATGCTTCCGAGGCTGTTGCCCCATCTTCTTCAGGTGACTTGGACAAATATTAACGGGTATTAGACTACAGTAACCTCAAGAACATGGAAAATGTGAGTTATACCTACAGAGACGCTGCCAATGTTGCAGTGCCAGAGCAGGGCAGGACAAAGGCTGTCCTCACTGCTTTTGGAGCTCCTGGGGTAGGATTCCCATGTGGAGCAGGTAGCAGCTCTCTAGCCCCTAGGAGGATATGCTTTTCATAGCTAAAACCAAAGGATGCTTTGCTTGTGTTAGGTGGTAAATTGAGCAGTGTGTAGGAGAAGAGCACATGTAGATCTTCGCAGATTCATTTCCAAGCTGCTGAAAGGGCAGGGAATGCTTTGCAGCTGCAGACACCCATGCAGCGCTGTGTCATCCCTGTGTGCTGTGTGGATACCTGGGGCTCTGCATGCCCTCCTGCCCTTGAGCAGGCACCCTGGGCAGCATGGGCAGAGGGGTAGGGAATCTTTCACAGACTGAAAGCCTCTACGTTAAATAAAAGGGATTTCTCTGCTCATACTGGTGTGAAAGGCTGGGCAGGGGATGCTGGATGTCTTCATGATGCTTCTTAGGGTGCTCCTCTCCATCATGTGAGTGCCTGGGAGGTACGTGAGGGTTGCAGAAAGATGCTTTTCGTCCAGGAGTCTCCTCTCTAGGATTTGGTGCTTCTGGCAGGGCAGCCCTAAGGCTGCAGACTGTTTCTTGTGGCCAGATGGTGACACCTCCTTGGAAGCAAGACCCAGGTGGCTGTCCAGGGGGCCCCAACTGCTTGTACAGGCCCAGGATTGAGGGAGTGTCATGGAAAGAGGCTGGGGAAGGATTGCAGAGGCTGGTCCCTAACCTTCCAGCCACATAAAGTACTGTTGCACCAGTATAACACTTTTCAGGTGACAGTTCTCTGCCACTAAACTTTGTACCTTGAAGCCATGTCCCTTGCTGCCCTATCCAGCCCAAATGCCTGTGGTGTGGTCCTCCCTGCATCACAATGGTGCTGGATGACCATCACCCTTGCTGTTGTGGCAGGGGGGCTTGCTGCCGGCTGTAAATGCTGTGAGGCAAGGGGGTAGTGCTCAGTGCTGCAGCCAGTGTCGCATCAAAGCAAACAGCCACAAAATGACCTCAAAGAAAATCCTGCGCCAGGACACCCATCGCCCCAGCCACGAGGCAGCTGGCTCTGGAGCATGGTGGGGGAGTTGTGCTAAGATACAGCCTGCAGACCCGGCAGGTTTGTTTTTATCACATCAAAATAAAACTCAGAGTGATCAAGAGCTATTAATGAAGCTCCTAATTTGTGACTGCTTTGCCAGGCCCTGTAAGAGACACACACTGGAGGCTGATGCAGTGCACACTGCGTCTTGCTGCCAGAGAGACTCATGACTGCCCTGTGCCGTGGGTTAGGGCTGGGCCGGCCTCTAACATGGACAGACGCTCTCTAACCGCCTCTTCCCCCCCCCCAAATGGGAAGGAAAAGGGAATGAAGCAGAGAGACTTTTGGGTTAGAGCAGAAAAAGAAACTAGAACAGCTTTAATGAAACAA